TTTTTTTTTTTCTTAAACCCATTTAGTCTCAGAGCCTTAATTATGTTGCTGCTGTCAGCAGTCATACAGTCGTGCCTGTCTTCAGTAAGGTCTCAGGACTGCAGTGCATCTTGTAACCCATGGTCCATTAGGTCTTCAATGTGGTTAGTAGGGAAGTAGCTTATAGACTGACGCATGGCAGCATACAGCAGTCGGTGAGAAGATGTACAAACTTCTGTAGGGCTTCATGGTTCGACTGGAGCATGAATTACTTGTTGTGGAATAAACACAACTTTTTCACAGGTAAACCTCTCCAAAATGCTTTCGGCTTGGTACCTCAAATTTGGCGTCAATGGATGGAGCATTTGTATAGGACTTTTTTTTCTACATTGTATATACAGGCATCATATCTTTGGCAATACAAAATGCTAATAGTTACTCTGTTTAATGATTCACTACAGTGTAGAAAAGATTTCCTGGATAAATTTGAATCTTCTGATTATCTGACTTTCACAGTACAGGGCTCTGTTCAAGACATGTTTCTGGATGTTTATAGGCCTCTAAAGTCCAAAATAAACTTTTTCAGTGATTTCAAAACTTATAGAGTCATTATGTAAGTTTTAACTGAAAGATATATTTAAAATAGCCTTTGAATTTGACACTTTTTATTTGTTTTACCTAGATATTATATCCTACATGTCAATTATTGATTATTTTATGGTAAGCTTTAAAAAAAGGAATCCTTTTGTCAATTTAGTATTCTCCAGGTGCGAAAGATACATTATTTATCTCAAGTCATGCTTTAATTGTTTTAAACGCTGAATTCAGTATTAATATATTCATGAAACCTTTGCCCTAATTCAGCAACTCTTACCTCAATGCTTTACATTTGCTAGTTTTTAACATGTTATAGGACACTGGTAAATAAAAATCAACTAGTTCACTTATAATCTGGCTAAAAATGTCGATTGCTAAGGGTTAGTTGGTGTCAGCGTAGACTCACTTCAACTTGTTACTTTGGCATGTACAGAAGTCATTTCTTCTTGGTAAATATACAAAACCAATACTGAGTCATAATCAGATGCCATGCACTCAAATACGAGGAGGGCCCCAAAAAGGTAACTTTAGATACAAAAGTAGGACTGAAACAAAGCGTACAATAAATTGTAAAAAAATACATTTATCCTAGTTATGTAGAAAGCAGAGATAGGGGATCTTGAGTATCCTTTTGTCAATTTAGTATTCTCCAGGTGCGAAAGATACATTATTTATCTCAAGTCATGCTTTAATTGTTTTAAACGCTGAATTCAGTATTAATATATTCATGAAACCTTTGCCCTAATTCAGCAACTCTTACCTCAATGCTTTACATTTGCTAGTTTTTAACATGTTATAGGACACTGGTAAATAAAAATCAACTAGTTCACTTATAATCTGGCTAAAAATGTCAATTGCTAAGGGTTAGTTGGTGTCAGCGTAGACTCACTTCAACTTGTTACTTTGGCATGTACAGAAGTCATTTCTTCTTGGTGCATATACAAAACCAATACTGAGTCATAATCAGATGCCATGCACTCAAATACGAGGAGGGCCCCAAAAAGGTAACTTTAGATACAAAAGTAGGACTGAAACAAAGCGTACAATAAATTGTAAAAAAATACATTTATCCTAGTTATGTAGAAAGCAGAGATAGGGGATCTTGAGTAAACAAGTAATTTCTATGTCATGTTTCTGTTCTACCCAGCCACTTCAATTTACATAGATAAACCAGATTGGACTAACTTGGTTCAGTGGCTGGGTAGAACAAATACATGACATAGAAATGACTTGTTGACTCCAGATCCCCCATCTCTGGTAGAAATTATTCCAAGAAATCCTTGTATATAAGGTGTCTTTGCATATTTATTCTAGATACCACTTTTTTAGAGACTTGGAAAGTTAATTCCAGTAACCACTTTCAACCTTGTTGAAAAATAAACATCCTCGGGATTCATTATCTGTACCAGCTCTCTGCAACCTGCAACAAATTGCCATTGAATTTACCACAGATGTTATAATTTGTTGGGTGCAGTTTTGAATACGGTTGCCAATGAACAAAAGACAAACTAAGAGATTGTTTCACTAAGATAAGATAAGACACCTTTGTTGTCAATCACCATGGAGATTAAGAAATGTCATTGTCATCTTGCAAAAATCATTCATGAAACATTTATAAAAAAAAAAAAACCGTGTTATAGGGTGAGTTTGTATCATAGGGCTTAGCAATTATGCTTTGCCAAAGGAAAAAGCTACAAAGTTTTGCAAATACTGAATAGCAAAACAAATCTTCGTGGGTAAATAAAACGACTTGTCATGATGGCATTGTATTCATAACATTTCTGATTGTAAATAATTTATTACAGGTAAATGAGATTGTAAGAAACCACATAGTTTCCTTTCAATCATTCTCATGGGACATGGGACGCATGGTCTGCTTGGTGGTATTTTGCTTAAGGCAAAGAAAAACCCCAAGCTGTGCTACATAAAGGTGGCTAAGAACATGATAAGCAATGAGGAAGTAAAGAAAGTCAAGCCGCCAATACCTGTAAAGATAGCAAAAACAAAAAAACCCTAAGTTAACATTATTACCTCCGCGAAAGAGATTTTGTTTTTAGGAGACTGTGTGTGTGTGTCTGTCTGTGTACACGATATCTCAAAAATTTGTTGACGGATTTCAATAACACTTTTATCAGAGGTGCCCCTCAGGCTGAAACAATTAATTGGATTAATCATGATTAATCAATTATTGAAATAATCGTCAACTAATTTAGTAATCGGTTAATCGTTTCCTGGAGTATAGAGACACTAGAACATGCTTTTAGCCGACAGATCAACCCACTTAGAGCAGTAATTATACAAAAATTATTTTAAAAAAAGTATATATACATTTTGCATTTAAGATTTTTTTTTAAATGTTTCGTCTGTCAATATGCTCTATCCAGAAATCTTCCAGTGGAAAAGTTAAGTTTTACCCAGTTTATTTCCCTAAAAAGTCTTCTTTAAAGAATGCTCTTTGAAATTAATGTCATTTAATGCCATAAACCAGTTTCCATGACGAAAGAGACTCTAAAAAATAAAAAAAAATGTATCTTAAAATGCCTTGAAAAGATTTTAAGACATAGCACTGAAAAATGAAACAGAGCTTAACTGGAAATATTTGAAAGAGGTGGATACAAAAACACGTGTAACAAAAATGACATTGAATGTCAAATGGTACAGTACATAGTACATATGGTACAAATGGTTCATTTTTCAGAAAAGAGGATTAACGCTTGTGTGTCAGTTGGTTCTATTTCGAGTTCTGACTCAACATTTTTCAGTTCACTATATTTGGCCTTGTACCACTTTCTTAGAGTATTACATTTCATTAGTATTATATGGACCGGCCCTGGGCTCATGATGCTTTGTCCTCAGTGTGCAAGCTTAGCAAATGTTTATCGACTAACTAAACACCAAAATGTCCATACCTGAAGTAAAGAGTCAAGACTGATTCAAACAATCACCAGGAGCGATGCTAGCATGTGCACAGCCCCTCCTATCGTAGCAATCATGTTATGATCAAAGTGTAGCTGTCTAACTAATCAGAGAGCTGGGTACATCAGAGGCTCAACTTTTAAATATTTTTTTTTTATTGTAATATTAAATTTGGAAAAGGTGTTTTTTTTTCATTCACCATCCTGGTCCTCAATAATAATAATCAGCCTATGGCTTTAAAAGTATATAAAGCTGAATTAGTTTATTAACAAAATAATTATAGAGTTTAAAATGTTTGCACTGTGTTAAACAGTAAGAAAAACCTAAAAATCTTACAACTAAAATAACTTTGTGTCATTGTTATGGTCCTTTTTGTATAAATGGTGGGACGGTTTCTGTCATTTATCCACATTTCTAATTATAGTACGTTTCACTCAACTGATATCAAACTGAGTTACTCAGATACATGGGCGGTTCTAGACAGGGGCCAACAGGGACCTGTGCCCCTGTAGCTCATGTCCTGGCCCCTGTACTAAAGACATAATACTTAAAAGAAATTGTAATGATGATCTGTGCTGGAACAGACATGGTTACTAATAGGTCCTTTTGATCTATTTTACTAATTATTTAAAAACAACAGGTGATAGCTTCAGTGGTATTGAGATAGGATCCCAGTTTTCATCTGCTAAATGTTTTTTTCAAAACAAAAATAAATAATTACATTGTTTACATCTGAAAATATCTGTTTTTCTTGAGTCCTAATTCAGATTTTACAGAAAACAGTAATTTTAACTAAAATTAAACCAAAAAAATATGTAAAAATCCTAAATTCTGAATGTATATTGACCTAATAATATATAGAATTTTAATTAAACCTAATTGAATAGAAATTTCATGTCATGCAGCTCTCTTAATGTATTCGATTCCTTTTTCCTGTTTATCATTTTATGCTTTTCTGGGCCCCCATGAAAACACGCTGGCGCCCTCGTGGCCCCCTGGTACATTTGGTCTAGAACCGCCCCTGCTCATATACTGTATGAGAGTTTTATTTGCTCTGAAAAGCAAATAAAACTGAAATCCCAGGAAATAAGCGACATATGACGTTATTTGGGATGGAACCATCAAAAAGCAACAAGAGCAGCTTTAGATAACAAGCCTCTCCGAGTTAGAACACCAAGGAAACTGAGAAAAATGAAACAAAACACGGGATAGCTACGCCTGTAGGCGCATCCTATGTGAAAATATATTCATAAATATTAATCGGACATATATATAAGGTTAGAAAAGTTAACACATTTAATAGAATTTCAGTTTACGTGCTCATTATTCCCATCATCAACCGATACCCGTTAATTTCTGTGTAAATTCCAACACAAGTTTCCAAGATAACGTTAAAATAAAAATACTATTTAAACAATTCACTTATAAAACAATACCCGACACATTAAACTGGCAGATACGATGTTTTCTTCAGCTCTCTCTACATGTGGAGGTTGTTTAATACCAACCTCCAGCAGGCCGAGCAGGGGGCTTTCCCCCTCTCCCCGAACCCAAAGCGTTTCAGATCGGCCCCACTCACCACGAACTGCCGAACAGGAGACCCTTTCCGCTCCCTAACGGTTGGTGGAGGAATCAAGTTTACTGAGCTTTGGTGGACGCCTTTATCTCCGACTGACAGAAGCAGGGATGTGGTGAAGACATAAAAAGGCTGTCTCTATTTCCTTTGACACCGGACTGATTCACACTCTCACTAGAAAACAGTCAGCGGAATAAAAAACCGCCAGCAGTTAGCGGATTACCAGAAACTCTCTCCCTCTCTCTCTCTCTCTATTCTCTCTATTCCGAGCTCCTCTTTTCTTTTTTTTCTCGCCCTTTTAGAAAGATGCGTAAAGGACGCATCGGTATGGAAGACCAACTCTGCCATATTTAACCAAAAAAAAAGACTCCGTAAATAAATAAGCAAACAATTAATTGTATGAATCTACAGGAGGAGAGGAGAGTGTGAAGTCGAGTCTGAAGTCAGTGGCCGTTTCTCAATTCATATGAACGCGAGTAAGGACCAACTCTGCCATATTTAAAAATAAAAGCATAAATAAATAAATGCTCAATAAATAATTAAGCATACAATTAATTACCCCCAAAAATACAATAAACAAATAAATGTACCGGTAGGTAGAAATTAAATTATACAGTGAGACATAAATGTAGATCTCTCCTTTAATTAGCTTCTTTATTTATTTGCCTTTGTAATAATGACCTTATTTATTTGTTGTCCGTTATAATCTTCAACTTTATTTGTTGTTTGTTTTTTAAGCATTTATTTAAGTGCATGTTATAATATTTTTGTTTGTTTTATTCTGCATTTGCATTTTTTTACCCTCTTTTTTTCTTCAACGCTATTTATTTCTGCCTGTCATATTTACATTTCTGTTTGCATTTGTGCCACCTTATGCAAATGAGGAAGGGTGTGTCTAAGGCTACGTTCACACTGCAGGCCTTAATGCTCAATTCCGATTTTTTTGTGAAATCGGATTTGTTTGCGTGTCCGTTCACACTTTCAAGTATATGCGACTTGTATGTGATCTACTGTGTGAACTGAAAGCGTTCAACCGAAGTGTCCCAAGGCTACGTTCACACTGCAGCCTGAAGTGACCCAATTCCGATTTTTTTGCCCATATGTGACCTGTATCAGATCTTTTTATGACAGTCTGAACGACACAGATCGGATTTTTTCAAATGCGACCCAGGCCACTTGGATATGTGGTCCTGAATCCGATAGGTATCTGATCTTTTCAAATGCGACCTGTGTCTGTACGGCCAGGTCGCATTCATCCGACCTACACGTCATTGATACTTGACAAATGTTACTAAACATTACTAATCTGCATCCTACTAAGCGGAGGCGGGAAAAACTAACAACCATTGCGGAAGATGACACAGAGAGCAGTCAATGGAGAGAAAGTGAGGTTGCTGACTTAATTCATATTTGGAAAGATAGCTCGATTCAGATCAAACTCGAAGGGTCTTACCGGAACCTGGCTCTCTTTCTTTTTGATCTTCTTCTTTTTGATCTTTTTGATCTTGATCTTTCTTTTTGATCTGCTCCTGTTGGAGAAGAACTTAAAGAACGCAATATACGCTGCGGTATTACGAGTCATGTTTACTTCCGCAAACACTGAGGACGCTTGCTACATGTGACGTCATCGCGTCCTCGAGTGCGCATGCGGGACACTTCGGTTGAACGCTTTCAGTTCACACAGTAGATCACATACAAGTCGCATATACTTGGAAGTGTGAACGGACACGCAAAAAAATCAGATTTCACAAAAAAATCGGAATTGAGCATTAAGGCCTGCAGTGTGAACGTAGCCCAAGTGGCCTGGGTCGCATTTGAAAAAATCCGATCTGTGTCGTTCAGACTGTCATAAAAAGATCAGATACAGGTCACATATGGGCAAAAAAATCGGAATTGGGTGACTTCAGGCTGTAGTGTGAACGTAGCCTTAGAGAGTCAACTTCTGCTCATTGGTCAGTTAGCACCAGTGATGGGAGTAACGGCGTTACTAACGCCGTTACCTTGTTTTAGTAACGAGTAATCTAACTAATTACTTTGACTGTAACTATAACGCAGTTACCATTGCAGACACCCTGTTACTGCGCGTTACTCAGGTCGCACAATGAACCTTTTTTTCATGATAGGACTCGTGCGCGCCTTGTCATGAGAGAGGGGAGGATGAGAATGGCTGATGTATAGTGAGATTCCGTCTGTCAGTTGGGTAGGTGGGTGTTTCCGCTGGCGGGTGTTAACGTACAGCACACACAGAGAGATGGAGAGTCCAGCAGCAAAACAGCCTTTTCCAGATGGAAATACTGTTGTTACATCGAGCTGCGTTTCCCCATCACATACGGTTTCCCCTGCATCTCCGCACAGCGCAGGCGGCACGATTCACCGCGCAAGCGACAGGAAATGTGCATGCTCGCTAAAGACGCGCAACAGTCGCCTTGTGCTCACGCCACAGGGGAACTATGGAGAGCGTGAACAATCAAATGATAACCTATATGGAGAAAGGGAGAAATCTGGATGGATGGATGGATGGATGGATGGATGGATGGATGGATGGATGGATGGATGGATGGATGGATGGATGGATGGATGGATGGATGGATGGATGGATGGATGGATGGATGGATACTCTGCCTTTTCAACCTACTGTATTTTTTTATTTTAAACTATATTTGATGGCCTTTGTGGCAGGGATGGAGATCCATATTTTATGTCACACACAGAGTGTACATCTAGATAGATAGATAGATAGATAGATAGATAGATAGATAGATAGATAGATAGATAGATAGATAGATAGATAGATAGATAGATAGATAGATAGATAGATAGATAGATAGATAGATAGATAGATAGATAGATAGATAGATGTTGCAGCATCTATAACAACCCAAACACACAGGATTTCAGAATTAGACATCCCCAGTTATTAATTTCATATACTCACCAGAACTGAATGCCCTGTTAAAAAACTTCACATGGCGTTCCCCCCTGATGTAATTTACGTTGAGTTGCAATAAATGCCAAACTCTCTGCAGGTTCTTGTCTTTGTCGTCCGCTCTATTCAGCTGGAACACACGGCGAGAAGGTGGGGGCCAGGTGGTGAGGGTTACACGGGCGAGAAACGCAAAAGTAACACAATAGTTACTTTTACTAGTAACTAGTTACTTTTATTGTGGAGTAACTCAGTTAGTAACTCAGTTACTTTTTGGGAGAAGTAACTAGTAACTATAACTAATTACTTTTTCAAAGTAACGTGCCCAACACTGGTTAGCACTTACTGCATATGTCGAATCTAATGGAGGAGAGGAGAGTCTGAAGTCAGGTCTGAAGTCAGTGGCCGTTTCTCAATTCATTAGAACGGAAAAAAAATATGAATAAATAAATAAATTTTAAGATTATTATGGAAAATAAATAAATAAGGTAAATATTACAAAGGCTAATAAATGAAGAAGCTAGTTAAAAGAGATATATACATTAATGTCTAACAGTATAATTTAATTTCTACCAACATTTATTTGTTGTTTGTACTTTTGGGGGCAATTACTTGTATGCTTATTTATTTATGGAGCATTTATTAATTTCTGTATTTATTTTTTTAGATTTTGTTGGGAGCTGGAGAAGTTCCACCTTTCTCCAGCAGAGTCCGCCGTGGATCCTCTGAGGGAGCCTCCTGCACAGCTGCAGTTCGTCAAGATCATCAGAGGATCCACTACTTAAGCTGTCTTCAGACCTTGCCTCAACGCCGCAGTGTTGTTCCAGTTGGTCAGCGCTTAAGCCTAGATCCTCAGTGAAACTTTATGACTTCGAATCCAGCCTGGATTCTAACCATTGTCTCTGTCTTCCAGGAAACCAGTGTCTCCTCTGTTAAGCTCAGAAAGAGCTAACCTGCCGAGCCGACCCTCTGAGCCAAACCTGAAGAATCCTAGAGAACCTCCAAGCAGCTCAGGGCTAGAGCTGGAAAACCTAAAGCCAAGGTCTGTGCATTACTAGCAGTGAGACGCTGAAGCAGCTAGCGGACTCTGCTGATGAACCCCTCTCCAGATCCAACAGAGACTCTCCCAAGGCTAACCTCAAGAACCCTCAAGGTACAATCAGTAGGCTTCAGGAAATCAAACCTCTGTTGGCAATGCTAACTGACTGTCTCTCACGCAGACTCCGGTGAACCAGTATCCAGGCCCCCCGAACCCGAACCAGTACATTCTGTGTGCTTGAGCAAAATAAACTTGTTAAACTTTCATCCCTGTGTCCGTCAGTGGTGTTCTGCATACTTGGGTCACTTTTAGTGAACCCATCATGACAGAACACTGCGGCCAAACTCAAGGCCCAGCAGATCACTACATCCGTCGATTGGAGGAACAGGCGGCCCAGATCCATGGACACGGTCTGGCGCTACGTGAGTTAAACACCCACATTGAAAGACAAAATCAAGCTATCCAAAGCTATGCTAATTACCTGAACAGCGCTAATGCTGCACCACAACCATTTCCGGGTCCAGTTCCACCTCCGAGGTCACCAGCAGTGACGTCATCAGAGTTCCGTCCTAGTCTTCCAGAAAGATTTTCTGGTAACATGAAAGATAGCAAGGGATTTTTATTTCAATGTCGTTTGATTTTTCAGAACTCCCCCGGCAGCTTTTCCACGGATTACAAGAAAATAACCTTCATCCTTTCTCAGTTAACAGGAAGAGCCTTGGAATGGGCTCAGGCAAGATTTGCCGCCGACGATAGCTTAAACTGCTATTATTCTGATTTCATTTCTGAATTTACCCAGGTATTCAACCAAGAAACTGACCAAACTATTGACTCTAGAGCTCTATTCAATCTAAAACAGGGAAACTCTTCGGTGGCTGAATTCTCCATCAACTTCCGGGTTAAAGCGGCAGCTTCCGGATGGAACCAAAGCGCTCTGAAGGGAGCCTTTTTCATGGCATTAAACGAGCACATTAAGGATGAGCTTGCAACCCTCGACGAACCAGCCACCCTCGAAGATCTAATTCGTCTCTCCATTAGATTGGACAATAGAATTCGTGCCAGAAACAGTTCAAGGAAGCAGGGGACACTTTCTTCTGCCTCACATAGCGTGACTGTTTGTTCTTCTTCTACAGAGCAGCCGTCCATTCAGAGACCTAAGTCCCAGTCTCTTCCGTTGCCCATTCAGGCCTCTCATTCGGGCGAAGGAGATGTCGAACCCATGCAGGTGGGACACACTAGGCTCACCTCAGAGGAAAGGCAAAGGCG